ATCACCCAAGCGGACCATTCCGTTTGGTCCTCGCAGTCCAAGATGAATTCCCATAACTGGACTGTCGCCAACTGAGGGTCGAATCTGCGGATCGGTTATCTGTCTGTAACTGTGCAAAACAGATTTCTCATCATTAGCAGAACGAAACACTAACTAAATATTTCTTACAATACATTTTGTGCAAAATATTGTATTTTGTGTGTGCTATACATTTTTACCGTTATATTTATGTTGCAATGTTTAACGATATTTTACATATTATTTTAAAACTATATATATATTTTTTAAATATACATATGTACCTTTTCAAAGTCTTCAAAGGCTCCGTATTGGCGTGTTTCGTGCCGGTTTCTGGATCTATCGTAGTAAAGATACATCTTGTACAGGGTCTAACGTTTCTCATAATCACGTTCCCAATCTTTACCCAATCCCATTTATCTTCTTCGTAAGCAGTGGCACCCTTGACCACGAAATTCATGCGAAATTGCTGCGGCGTGACTGGTTCGTCCAGTCGGCTATTAAGGTCTGCTACTGAAGCTGCGTTGATCAGACTGTAGCTTGTTTCATCTGGATAGGCTCCCTATTGAGACATTTTTTTCAGTTTTTATTTGGCTAACTAAATAAAAACTAAGGCTAACTAAATGAAATAATTTGTAAATAAATTACTAATCGTAATGAAATAGTTCTCTATAATTAAATCAAGATTAATATATATTTATAAATATATCTATATATTAATATATTTATAATTATTATCATATATAATTATAATAATATTTTTATGTATTATGACTCTCCTCCTTATGTTATATTAAATGACGTTATATAACGATTTTCTTCCTTTGCACCAATCAACGTGATAGATTTATTATATCGAGATGTTATTTGTCATTGCAATAGTAATGTCAGTGACAGATGCACGACGCAAGAAAACCAAGTTAGTCAACTTCGTTAAAGCGGAGTGCATAGCGCGAAGTTAAAGAGCGATCATTCCGTTAGAAACGTCT